TGAAAGAAGACATGTAATAGTACTAGTACAGACAAAGAGTTCTTGCAAGATTTGCATGCGATAAACATGGGAATCGCAACAGCCTCTCAGAAGCCGCCACTTTCAGTCACAACAAGGGTCTTAAGCCAAAGCGCGGCAACCGAGAGGACGCAGGACGGCGCCGCCCTGGAACCACGTAGGGGATCCCTCACTGACCACCATCTGATCATTGCTGACTCATCAGCCCCCACTTCCACACACATTACTTCGTTCATCAAAACGGCCGACGCTGCCGGAAGCACATCGGAATCGGCATCGATGATGACGTCCACTGAGAGCACCTCTTGATCAACTTAAATCTAGGCGTTCTTTGCCCAGTTGTTAGCGTTTCGGGGAGTGGGGGGAAGTGTGGTTTGATGGAGCTGCTGCGGACGATGCTCTTGTCCAATTGTTTTCCGCCCTGGTTGGAATACTACGTTCGGCGCTAGGACTCGGCTGACATGTGTTTGCAAATTGAAGTGAGGATGTGATCATTCATGCATAACGGGACGCGAACCGCACATTCTTGCTGCGATTGGCTGGAGACATTGTCTGCAATACCAAAGCGTTTATTGGTCCATTGAAAGAGCTAGGAGTGAAGAACAAGCTTCGGCACTTACCATCATCCTACACTGTAATTTATTCTTCCTTCTCTCCCAAACTCAGATGTGCTTGTCCGGCTGTCGGCTTTCGTGCTGCTGATCTCTGTTCTTCAGCTTAGGCTAGCTTAGTCTGAGAACACGCTGTTGTGCCTGGGAAGTGGCTAAACATATCATGTGACTACTATTCAGTCGCTGCACCACGGTCCAGCCGAAAGGCACGCTTCTTGACATCATTGGTGCAAGACTAGTTGGTGCATTTGAGAGATGGCTAAGGTGGTCCGAGCTCATGTGCCCAGAGTGGAGAACACGTAGGCCAGTGACGGGCTTACGTTCCGGCGTATACACATCAGCATACTTCATCGTTATAGACACCTTGCCGATGGCTAGGGTATCACCAGCAACGACGACGGCGTTGATTACAAGTCGCGATCGCGATGATGACGTGATATTCTTAGGCCCGGAGACCAGCGCGCGGTGCACACTGGCATACAACATGGACACCTTGCCGATGGCTGTGGCATTGGGAACGACGAGAACAGCATCGCCAGCAAGCCACGACCACAACAACGACGTGATCTACTTAGGGTCAAGGACAGGTCCGTAGTGCGCAACCAACGCGAACCGACGCTGACGAGGCCACAGTTACTAAGCCATCATCTCGACTCCGGCAGCCCAGCTGTCCTCGACCCAAACCGGACGACAAAAAACAACGGTCACGGCAATCGTTCAAGACGAAGAAGTCAAAGCCAAAATCATCGCACAGAGGACCAGTTCGTAAAGAATCACTTATGGAATACGCACGTGTTGGTTGGATGCTATCTTCGGGCAACAACTGGCATGTTGTGTACGGATCCCTCGATAGAAGCGGACAACCATGCTACTGGTCCCATTCGGCTCCCGACGACTGTCAGACCATCAAACACGAAGATATATACTTTCGCTCGATGTTCCAAAAGCTGAGCCCGGACGAAATACGCAAGAAGTTGCCGGGGAAAATGCGGAGGGCGAGGGGGAGAAGCGTCCAGGACGAAACATGAGGTGCATGCGTGCGCCCTGTGTCTTGGGAACTGCTCATTGGCGACTCTTCTGGAGCAGTCGTTTTCGTTCGTTCGGGACATTTTCGTTCGTTCGGGACTTTCTTGTCTGCAGTCGCTCCATATATGGCTAAATCAGCACACCTCGACCCGAATACCCTCACTGCCCCTCTTGGTCATTCCCAGGGCAAGATCGAAGTCATATACAACATCCGCGTCTGTTGTGCTGTACAATTTCATGTTCTCCACGACTCTCAGAGTCAACGCCGCGATAGCAACATACAGCTCGCAGTACGCTAGCCGGTCGGAGGCTGTGTGGTCAGCTGGGTGTCCGAACAGGGTAATCAAAGACGAGACGGCAAGAACATACTGCATGCCGAGACACTGTCGGCTGCCCCTCGAAAAAGTGAGGAGATACCGCTCAAGATGCCTTCCTTTCCTTCCGTCTCTGAGAAGCCATCTTTCAGGAGTGAACTTTGTTGGATCCGGATACAGACGTTTATGCGTGTGGACCAGGTAGGCCGACATGCGCATGGCGTAACCTAGGGGGATCACTTGTCTGACGCTCACTTCTTGTGTCGTTCTGGGAGGATTCCACGTGCCCTGATATAGGACATCGTCGTCGGGTGCGATTCTGGGCAACCTCGACGAGAGTCCGTACATCAGGCGGAGCCTCTCCTTGATGACAGCACTCACATACGGTAGCCGTTCGAGAACGAAACATTCAGGCAGCGCTTTCGGGTCCTTCACCACCGCCCACAGCTCGGCTTTCATCTTTGCCACGATGTCCGGGTTCTTCAGGAGATGGTACGTGCAAAGACTGAGCACGGTCGCCGTTGTTTCCGTTTCAGCGGCAAGAAACACGTTCGCCTCGCCAGACAGCCGCTCTTCTATTTTCTCTTCTGCCGGCAAATCAGACGACAGCAGTGAGAAGAGCACCGTGTCCTGGTTCATCCGCATCCCGGTCTCGTATGCATTCTTTGCTTGGCGAACCATCATTGGCAGTTTGACCTGTCACCGTCATCAGCAAACACGCGACAGCTGCGCGCGGGACGTACCTTGGAATGATATGCGAGGATTCCGATGTTCTCTTCTCGGTCCAAGCTGACACTGCTGTTTAATGGAAGCAAGTAAGGGCTTTTCGGTAGTCCTAGTTGCTAATTTGATTATGCGAAGGGCATACTGTTCCTTTCTGAATTACAGGCGCAGTCATACACACACACACACACACACACACACACACACAAAATTTATTACGCCCGGCAGCGAAGCCGAAAGGGCACCTAAACTGACTACCTATACAATGCTGAGCTTGTGTCTTTGTCTCCTTGAACCCATAAGCGATGTCTTCATTTCTGCTTACTCCTCCATGTCTGCCGTCTCGCTTCGGATTCCCGTGGTTTGGTCGTATTATTATAGCATGCCATCTTGGAGCCTATTCTCCAAGTGTTCAACGTCCTGTCTACGGCGGCTGAAGCGGTGCGTGCTGTCTGTAGCACGGGTTGTTATATGGTTAGGGTTATGTAGGCTTTGAAGTGTTAGGGGTGTCCTCCAATTCCGTCTTTCAACACCTTGCGTCCAACCGGCCCGTTGCCAGCGCAAATCGTATCGTTGCTCGAACTGCTTGCATGTTTGGCGTCCATTTCTTGTCGTCCGCTGGGCCCTTGCCTCCTAGATGAAAGGATATGTTGCTTCTCTGCGTCTCTGTGCATTGGAGCATCTCGCCCCTGAGCGTTATCCATTTGGTGCATCGGAAAAGGAAATGCTCAACCGTCTCTGCTGCCGATCCTCTCGCTTGTGATGTCTGACAGTGACCTCCGCAGTGCGTATGCCATAGCTGCCAGCTGTCCGCTGTAAGGGTTCTGCTCCGACATCCGGCCTAACGTGAAGGAGAAAGGCTCAAGTTCGAGGTCGTCTCGCAGCCCTGATCGTTTCTGAACGGCACCGCCGACACCTACTACTCCATTCCTCGCTGAGCTGCTGACCGCGACACGGACTGTGGTGGCTGTCCCAGCTTTCTTTGTCTCTTCCTCACCGGCTTCGATTTTGAGTCTCTCTTCCCAAGGCAACAGCGTAAGCGGGTTGATGGTCTCGATCCTTTCCATCGGCACGTCCTTCAGAGCCTCGGCCACTTGGGAGAGAGGTGAGCAGTATGAGTTCTGGAATCGTCGCATCTTGGATGTCATCCTACGGAGGGGATTCGTCTCCGGTAGTGTGTGGATGTCCGTCCAAATCTTGACTGTTTTTTTCCAGAAACGCTCTTTCCCCGTAAGTATGTGGGCCTCCGCTTCCGCCACGCTTGTCGCGACCGTGAGAAGTGTGCCGACGATGGCCTTTGCCGATATCTTCTGTACCCTGTTGATGGGTCCTATGAGTTTGTCTTTGTACGCGTGCATCCATACGTTGGAAGCGTAGTCGACCACCGGTGCAACCGTCGTTGTAAATAGCTGTCGCGCCGTCGTCGGCGACAAGCCCCTTAATCGCTGTAGTTCGAATGCTGCCTTGAGGCCCTTTGATGATGCCCTCGCTATATGTTCCTTGTACTTGAGTCGACTTGTATCTCCGCAAAGCTGAGCCCACCTCGGCCGGTCTGTTGCCACTTCTAAGAAGCTTCAGTGCCTCTAGAGCCTCATCATCTGGCACATGCTTCAAGATTTCGAGTAAATTTGCGGCGTCAGCATTGTTTCGAGCCTCGTCCTTGTCCACGAGTTGGGTTCCAGGAGGGATGGCCTTCGGAATGGCGTTGGTGACCACTCTGTACTCGCATTTTAAACCACGACGCAAGCATTGTGAGCATGCTGGTTTACCATCGCACTGTTTGAAGCTGATTGTCAGTACTGGCTTGGATACGAGGCAGCAGGACTTAGCATAGCTAAATGTGGTTTGGTCGGCTGCATCTTGGTTTCCGAATAAGTGTAGGAACCCCCGTTTACTTACGGCAGTTTTCTTCTCCCGGCAAAAGTTGCATGCTTTCAAAGTGTTGGGCCGCTGTCTTTGGCGCCCCTTCAAGTTACTCCCACGACCTTCCGTGGTCTCTGACTCGTGACGAGGCCGTTGGCCGAGTTGTGGAAGAAGCGGACGATGCCGCTGACTGCCCAGCGGCATATGAAGACAATAATCGAGTTCTACGCGGACGTGTGCCAAGTGCCAGATCTCTTGTTAAAAGTCGGGACCTTGTCAGTCGTGATGTGATAATGACAAATCTTGGGACTTTGAAGATTAGTTCGTCACCTTGCTGGTCATTTTTGAGGGCATGGATGACAAAGGACGATTTGAACTCCGGCCGCTCTCACAACGCGCTCCTTTTTACTTACAGTTATGCTCAAAAGGCGGATGAGCGCCGCCAGGAAAGCCTACACATGGGCTGACAAGGGGACCCTTGCATCAAAGGATAATATGATACTTTTGAATGCACCAACTAAAAAAAACATGATAACTTCTAGTCTTTACTATGAAATGTGACTTTCTACATGCTGATTTGCTAATCTTGACTTGTTTATCAGGTCAACTTTGTACAGACTAAGTGCTGCAGTGGTCATCATCAGGTTGTTACATCACTTGCCGGCAGCGATGTATCCCAACTGCCCAGCATCGCAAGACCAGGAACTCACTACTGAGCTTGGCCACAGCCGATGGAATACCCGAGTTTACCGTCGGATTCTACCGGCCTCCATTGGCTTCAAATCTTGACCCCACTCGCAAGAATTACCGTACTCTCCACCCCACACCCGGTGACCCCACAAAAGCGCACACCATACCCTGCTCACTAACAACCTCCAATTGGCTAGTTCTGTTTACCTACAAATCAACACACTCAACTATTGGAATTCATTTCAGAAAAGGCTTCCATCAAGAATATGAGTGAGTTCCGTGCACACGCACGCTACTGAGCTGGCTTTAGGCTATCTCCACACGTGCTTACCAGATTACGGACAAAGCAGGACGATACAGCTAGGTAATTCCTCTCGAACTGGCCGGTGAAGAAAGGCTGCTTTGTCAACTCGAATTTGGCGTTGGACCACACAGGGGGCTCTCTCTTTCACAATACATTTGTAAGCTGTACAGGGACATCCCGTCGCCCACTTTGACCGGACGGCTCCCAGGTGTGACCCTTTACTTTCAGATCGGCGTTTTTTAGCCTATTAGATCTCTCAAGGCATGTATTTCCTGAGTTCTCTACAAAAGTAAGCTTTTCAGGACTCGTTTTTTGAATGGTTCCCTTGATGTACCAAGCAAAGGAACTATTGGCCGCAACTCGGCGCCGAAACCTAGTTTCGCCCTGGACGTACGTATACAGTAGTCGCCAGTAAATTAGCACTGCTCGTTACTGACTAGGCTCAGGTTAATCGCACTGACAAAACTGGCGCAAAATCAGTCCGCTATCCCGGTTCTGTTCTCCAACGGCTTGTTATCAAAATAGTTCCTTAAGATTGCTTTGTTATTATGACGCCTGTGTCTAGATAAAAGGCTATTTAGACCGGCTTATTTGCATTGATCATTACACTTTGCAGGAACCGGTGATAACGGGTAGATATACGACAAAGGCATCCTGTGAGCACACTGGCTGCCGCTTGAAAGAGCAGAAGAAAAGTGTAGCACACCTACCTGCGGTGTCCAGGTGTTAATAGGAGCAGCGGGCGTTGCGCGGTGTGTTATGTGGGGTTGAAACCTGCGCTTGGATGGTGCTGTGAAAAGGTGTCATCGGCACTCTTGAACCTATGAACGGACACGCGACCAACGGCCACCGCACCACCCTCGTCGTTTCCAAAGACAACAATCTGCATAGGGGGTACTGCCCATTATTACTAAGCACTCAATCATTGCTGCTAACAATTCTAAGAGATCTTTTTTAACCCTACAAGCGACCTTATTCTTAATTTACTAGGTTGCTCATTCCCACAAGCCGAAACAGCCTATAACTTGTAACCCTAACGGCTACAAAGGTCACTCATAACCTTACTCTTGCTAGGCTACCTTGTTTATAGTCTAACAGTCCAGTATGCCGAACATGAGCTTGATCGGGCGCTGGAGGCTATGGCCAATGGCGTTAGTCAGCGCCAGGCAGCTCGTATCTATGGTATCCCAAAGACTACCCTGGAAAACCGCATAACTGGCACCCAGTCAAGGGCATCGGCTTTTCTGACTTCCAGAGACTCTCTGTTAGTCAGGAAGCTAAGCTTGCCAGCTAGATGCAAATCCAGGCTAACCTTGGGCTTGCGCCAACGCATCGGCAAGTCAGAGAATTTGCCCAGCGTATCCTGATTGCTATGGGAGATACCCAGCCTCTAGGAAAAAGATGAGTAAATGGCTTTATATGAAGAAACCCATCTATCAAGGTCCAGAGAAGTCGATCTATTGATTCTAAACGTGCTAATGGGGCATCTACTGAGGTTATCAAGGACTGGTTCAAATATCTCGCGATCCCATCGATATTAGCCATCAAGCCAGCCAACAGATACAACGTGGATGAGACTGGTATCCTCGAGGGTCAAGGAGCAAATATGGTGGTGCTAGGCAGGTCAGAGACCAAGTCTGTACGTAAAAAGAAGCCTGGATCGCGAGCCTGGATATCTATTATCGAGTGTATCTCAGCCGAGGGCCAGGCACTGTATCCTCTTATCATATATAAGGGCAAGACGATCCAACAGCAGTGGTTTCCTCTAAACCTTACCCCTTGTGATGGATGGGAGTTCACGGCAACAGAGAATGGATAGACAACTGATGAGAATGCTGTTGAGTGGCTGCTAAAAGGTCTTCTTGCCACAGACTGCCCCCTCCCAGCCTGATCAGGCCAGACTGCTGGTCCTGGATGGCCATGGGAGCCACATAACGACAGAATTCATGTGGTAGTGCTATATCAATAACGGCTATCTGTTATTCTTGCTGCCACATACCTGCAATGTCCTTCAGCCACTAGATCTATCAGTCTTTAGCCCAGTTAAGTCAGCCTATCGCAAAAAGCTCCAGCCTAACCTCAATAGGTGGGACGATTTAAAATATAGTAGGCAAAAGACACCTCCTATCTTGTTATCGGCTGGCGCGCCTAGCTGGGCTGTCGAAAAATAACATTTTAAGTGGCTGGGAACACACTGGACTATGGCCTATTTCTACGACTAGACCACTCATGAGCTCTTTGCTGCTGCCCAAGGCAACAGCACCAACAAAACCACGTAACAAGGCTGCCCAAGATATCCAGGGTATCCAGGATGCTCAGGGTATATGTCACGAGCAGGTCAGGACAACCAACTGCGCCACAAAGCAAAAGCTTCGGTAATGATGCACCTGCATCATTATCTCCTGTTCTGTAATACATAGTCACGTAACCGATCGGGTCGTAACAGCAGGCCCAAGTCAACAACACTGCAGCAAGGAAGAAGAAGACTGTCAAAATCGACCCTAATACTAAGTTCGCCAATATCAGTGATATACGGCAAGCCCAGATCGAGGCTGGTGAAGCTGAAAGTGACACAGATGCATCCAGCACATTTTATTGCCCTAGTGAAACAGAAATTTGTATTATAGTTGCATCTGGACCTCGGCGATAGTTATTTGAAAAGGGTGGTTGTGTTGCGATAGCTTCATTTTTGTGCGATCCGGATGTGGGTGTGATCCGAAAGTGGGTATCCTGACTTACTATGTATGGTAATAGCGGGAACCTTGCAGAGAGTGTGTCACGGAGTACCTGGGCACCTTCTAGGACTTCTTTCAATGTCATGTATCTTAGACAGGACCTCGAGACTTGAAAATGGCCTGCTCCGATCAAGGATTGCAAAGATCGAGAAGTAGTGTTGCGCTCGTCGGGCCGGAGAAACTTCTCAAGTACATAGTATGCAGCTGATTGGGGAACGAATTGTGCTTGCTGGTCCCAGTCCTCTCCGTCTGGTTCATATAGCTCCCATATGTCACGATTTGAAATGCGTCAATGGCTAGTCAAGCTTGTCCCGGAGACCATCAAGACGGCGGCTGGAGTCGGTATCGGGTTCTTCCTCACAGAGACTGGGCTTCCTTACTCCGCCGGTATCGGTGCCATAACTGGAGGTTAGAAATCTACCCCGCTCACAGTTGCCAGATGCCCTGTCGAGATGATTGACGCTGAAACTCAGATGTGCGCCGGTGGCATCATGTCAAGTCCGAAGCTGTGGACTGCCATCTTTGCCGGCGGTATTTTCACGGCCTACTTGATGTCTTTCCGAGCCAAGTATGCATTTATCATGGGTATTGCCCTAGTGTCGATCCTGTCATGGCCGTAAGTTCGTGGAAGGTCTCCTTCCGATCCCGCTGACCTTCCAGGCGCAACACTTCCATCACATATTTCCCGTACAACAAGGAGAACCGTTTCAACTTTCCAAGCATATCGTCACATTCCATTCAATCGAGCACACCCTTAAAGTTCTTGAATGGAATATCTTCCTTCATTCGTGGTCATGACTTTCAGTCCGTTTTGTTACAGCGTTGCATATGGCCTTACTGAGTGAGTTTCATCCGTCGTATAGTTTGGGCTGCAGCTTATAAATACAGGGGTGTATTCGTGCACACCTTTCTCAACAGCCTCATGATCCTGACCGTATGGCTCTCAGGAGGCAGGCTCGAGCCCCTCAAGTATGACGCCAAAGAGTACTGGTCCTGGAGGGCCTCTGGCACGAAACCCTAGTTTGTCCGCGTGATTTGCACCGGGTGCTTCAGCTCTGGTCGAGAGCTCTCAACCTCTGGGTTCGTGGGTTCGTGGGTTCGCGCATGGGTTCATCGGTCCAAAAGGAGGACGGTGTTAAAATGGTAACTGAAAATCCCAGAGTGTGCGATCACGCCGCGCTCCGTGTATTGACTGTGTGTCAGAGGCTGGAGTCGTACAGAGTAATGAGGTCGGCGATGGGCACAGGTAGGGGTGGGTGTTGACTGTTATTCCAATCTGCCTTTCCCCTAGGTCCGCCGCAGCTGCTCCTTATATGCCCCCCGGGTCCCCCCCCTTAACCAAGCCCAGTTCCCCTGGCTGTAACACTAATTCAGCGGCGTTGTGCTATCGCCTTTCTCTAACGTTGGTCTCAGCGGCTAACCTTTGTTGTCGGAGTCTGTGTTGGCCGCGTGGCTAGAATCCCTTTATAATCCCTTGGCTATGTGCCGGTGCGGCCCCCAGCTACCCCGCCGACGGCCCCACTAGTGCCGCGCCGGTGCCCCCCCCCCCTCTGGGCGCCTGACACTGTGCCCCATCGGATACAAGATTCTTCATTTGCATTACTAGTGTGGTAAAAGGATTTATCAGGGAATCCGATAACTCCGAATAATGAATCTAACCCAGACATATTAGCGGGGTGCGTTGATAACGACAATGGGCCTCAAAGATGCGGTAGCCATCAACATTTTGTCTAGTGGATAGAGAACATTCTTGAAGTTAGGCTGTCCATAGATGCTGTCGATGACCTACAAGAAAAGTCTGCGAGCATATGCTACCTGTCATAGTGCTATACCAGTTGCGGATCCTCATAAGGGAGCAGCTCTACAGATTCTTCCACAAGTATGCTTTATTCTTCTTATCTTGACTGCCTATTAGGGAGACTAGCCAAGGCATGGGCCTGGTGAATCCGAGCCGATAGAAGAGGGCTAGTACAACTTTAAGCTTCTTTGCAACTAAATGGTTAACGGTCAATATCCTCCATCAAACAAGTTTGCTCAAACTGAATACCAAGTAAGAGTCCCAGATTCCGCAACCAGACAGCTCGACTAGGGTGATTCGGAGGTGTGGCTTCTATAGCCAAGTCTGCGGCTTGAATGCCATGGTCGATGTCGTCCATCGAGCCAGTCCAACAAAAACGACCACAAAGTAAGAGTCCAAGGTTGTTCAATATTGTAGTGCAGTTGGGGTGATTTAGAGGCGTGGCCCCTAATGCCATGCCTGTGACCTCAATGGCACGGTTGACGTCAACCATGGAGCCAGTATGTATGGACCGCCTGATGAGAAAACATCCGAGGTCGTTCAGAATCGCAGGGCGGTCGGGGTTGTCCGGAGTCGTGGCTTCTATAGCCATGTCGGTGACCTCAATGGCACGATTAAGATCCTCCATCGAACCGGTTTGATTGAATCGCACACCAAGAAGGCATCCAAGGCTATGTAAGAAGGCGGGGCGATTATGGTGGCCCGGGGGTGTTGCCTCCATCGCCCTGTTCGCAGCATCAATGGCACTGTCAGGCTTGTTCATCGAAATAAGGCCACCTGATTCCTGTATCTTGGAAAATAAGAAGTAAGATCCTTTGAAAAGGCTAACAAATGTATCAGCTTACCTTGAAACTCTTTTTTGTGTCCGGAATGTATGCCAAGATTATCGTCGAGAACCATTAAATCACAAAAAAAACACAAAAAGAAAAATCACACCCGAAAAATTCCAGTCTCGATATCTAAGAAGACCACTAGATTTTGAACGAGGTTTATCTCGACCAATCACTTGAAGATCAAGTTGAACAGTGCAGGTTCTCGCCGTATTTCTTTCCACCATACATTGTTGAAAGTTCTGCTGTGTAACTTCTCACGCTAGCCCGTACGAAGAGGTCAGCCGAGAATTGAGCTAACTATCCCCCTAAAGCCTTTACCATTTAGCTGATGTTTTCTCTAAGGACGCTCGTGATCATATCATTGGCTCAGCGAGGTTTGCAAGGAGTACCTTGTCGGAAGGCACCATAGAGTAACAAGAACGCACCGACGCATCGAGCCCCCCACCGGAAAGAAGCTAAGGAGTGAGTTCTGAGCTTATGTTGCGAAGTGGGCACATCTTTGTCTCAAAGGCTGATACGGTGAGACACTGTGCGCATGCAGTCCGTTTGATGCTTTACGGTTCTGAAATACCTGCATTTGGCCCACCAGTCCATTGGTTGTCTCTACAACATGGCTTGAGGCTGAATATCTACCTAATATGCATGATCCTGCCGTTAGTCATATACTAATGCTTGCTGAATGTAAATCAGCTGAGCATTAAGCCTACCCCCATATAGTTAATCAGATGAAATGTTTTGATGTTTACAAGTATGGATCGGGCAGGGATCTCTGGGTTTATCGGAGATCAATGAGGTTGACTGGGATCACACTGCAAGTTTATGGTTGGCTGGTTCCCCGCAGCTATGATATTGTAGTCCACTCGCACTCGATGACATGATGGCGGGCACGGATTGTGATTTGAAATTGTTAAACTGTTATTTTAGTTCTGCTCGTCGTACCAGTGGAAGGATGGCTGCATTGGTAATGTTGAAGTGGTCTGATTGGTATTCTCACGCCACTTTTCATCCATGCTTGTACAAACCTTTACGAGATGAACGTGAAATTGGGAACGCCATTGCAGGCCTTGGAGGCTTTTACGGCGAGAAATTCATTTTTCAGCCACCAGAAAATGTAAGCACTAGAAAAAGCAAGTGGGCTGACATAGGATGGTGATCGAGAGTTTACGTATCCGTGGGTCGATTGTGTGAGCGCAAATCTACCATAGTTAGCGGGTTAGAAAAATGGTTCACAACCCCGGATCAGGAATTCTATTTGATTAGCACGAGGGCGCACGAACAGACGATGCTGAAAAGAGGTAGAACGGGCTCATTTAAGGGTTGGCTAGTTGCGCGATCCTACCAGTCCGGAAAGGGAGATGGTAGAATGTGTTCGTTTAGAACACCAACTCACTGACCCAGACCCTAAATTCCGGCCTAGTGGATCGGAAAAGGGGGAAAGAGTGTCGTATTCGTGCTAAAGAGTGGATCGGATCACCACAGGCTTATGGGCCTAATTCTATTCTAATAAGACTTACAGAGCTAGGACCAGGTGGAAACGACAGGCTGGCGGCATTTGATTGGACTGATACTTCTCTGAAATGGTGAAGAAAATATACCGGTATCATTGGGTTTACCCCGCACATAGGGTTTTTGACGTCTTGCCGCACTCGATTGGATAACTGTAACGGTCCAAGGCAAGTGTATTTGCAACTAGCTATGGCGACTACTTAGAGTATCCTCAGATGAGGATCAGAAGGGAAAAACAGCAAATCTCCGCCTCACCGCTGGCCTGATCAGGGCCGCGTCGCACTGGCTATCAGATTGTCGGCATCGTGGATTCCGTGGTGGGCCTGATCAGAGGTGGCTCATGGTCGCGATACCCAGCGAGGCCTCATACGGGCCCAGCCCGTTACAATAACTCCACTTTTATTCTAATCACTAAGATAGTGTTTACGACTCAACCAGTTGGGGTGCTGGCCGGTGTAACTATGTACATACTGCAGAACAGGAGATAATGTTCTCACCAACAAAGCTTTTGCTTTGTTACGCAGTGGGTCGTCCTAAACTGCTCGTGACAGTAAGCCAACTTTGCGTTAGATATCGATCCTAAGAGAAACAAGCCACTTTCTAAGCAGAATGCCTTCCACTAGGTGACCTTGCTTCGTGTTAATATGTAAACCAGATACTTTGCATTGCAATTTGGTCTAGAACTCCTTTTCTGTTCTGGCACGAACCCTATTTAATACATATCGCAGATCACCTCCGGACCTAGTTATTTCTATGATAACGAAATCCGAAACACACCGGTAAAGAGTCAATTTGCCCATCTTTGGGGATAGCAATAGTGTTACGGTCAGATATCCGACAGTGGTGTTTTCTGCTAATAGGCAGCTGAGGTCGATACTCGGTAACAGTAAGGTAAGTCTTGTTGGTAATCTTGCTGGTCTGTTGGTGTCTGGTGATCAGTCAGGCACGTCTAGGCGTAGATAGCTTTATAGCTTCACAACAGAAGGATAATCTAAGAGTCACTTATGAGAGAGTGAATCACGAAGTTGATTGCTGAAGAGCTATGGAAGGTATCTAGTCTAGTTGGAACGATTGTCCTTATATCCTATTGTTGCCCTGTTGGGACCGATCTCCTGAAGTCGGTCCTCGATGAGGACCGATCCTTGGCATGTCGGTGATGATGATGATGATATATTTAACGTCCAGAGTAAAAAGGGACGTGCCGGGCGATGCCGACATGGTCTATGCTAATCTATACTATTTTACAGACTGCCGTCTTCACCTAACGTTCCTGTTCAATGAGTCGGGCAGATTTCAGAAAAGAAATTGGTCGCCTCCATCCATTCGCACAGAAGAGAGGCTCCCTGCGTAGAACCTAGCAGAAAATCTATGCTTGCTTTCGCCATATGTCGGCGAAGATGGGCTGGAGTGGCTTTACGGCCACGCTTGCAGAAGTAGAAATGCACCGGGGTTTTGCGTCTACCACAACTGCAGTCGAGCAGTGCGTCCTTATGGGCAAACCTCTCGTGGTATGCTGCGAAGTCTCCGTGATGCGATCTTGATGCATACAGCCTTCCCAGCAGGTGTCGAGGAAGGCGAAGCTCGGGGGGCTTGGGATGGGGGACTATCCCAAGGTCGGCATACTGCCGAGGGCAGAGTGATGGCCATCTTCTGTCGAAAGTTTGGAAAGCGACCGCTTTAGACTGCCGTTTCAAGTGCGCCAATGTAGGCCGTGGATGTGATTCTGGGGTTTGTTTGCAGGCCTCCTTGGCCAGAGAGTCCGCTTCCTCGTTTCCTGGTATTCCCGCGTGTCCAGGGCACCACCATATGTATACCCTGCCGGGCATCGTCCAGCTTGTCCGTTCTCTCTGTTTCCAAGAGCAGGAGAGCCCACTAAAGGCCCTA